GCTGCTACTGCTGCTCTGCTGCTACTGCTGCTACTGCTGCTGCTATTGCTGCTGCTGCTGCTCCTGCTTCTGCTTCTGTTGCCACTGCCGCCGCTGCTGCTGCTGCTGCTGAAGTAGTTGCATTTTTATAGAAAAAAATCTTCATTAATTCCTATAAGTGTATCGTAACCTAACACGCAGATATCATGTCAGCCAGCGAAACACGATAATGACATGAACAAGTTACAAGACTTCTGCAAGATGTTTTCACACCTTGCAGGGTTCCTTTACGATCGCAACAGTCATGAAACAATTGCTTTCGTAATAATTTTTTAACGGTTTCTAGCTTTTGGTATGGTAAAAATGTCTTGATAACCTCAAATTAAAAAATATTAATTGTTTTGTTCTTGAACTAAATCCAGTTATTGTGATGTTTTTACGTTTTCTCAAGTTAAAAGATTTACTTTGGTAAGCACCGTTTTGCAAAGTTTTCCCAAAACAACAGAAAGTTCAGAAAATGACCCAGGCAATTATATTATAAGCGTGACGAAATGTTGTTTCATAAGACAGTCGCTCTTTAAGTCAAACATTGCTACATCTTACTGATTCGCTACATATTTTAATGTTTCATTTCTCGGAGCTCTATTTCATTTATTACGTAATATCCTTTACTTTTGTTTTTCGTTTTTTTTTCCAAAATAGGGATATACATCGCTAATCGTAAGAATCTAACTCATTTCTGATTTAGGAAAAAAAAAGTATGGGTCGAACCCAAGATCGGGATAAGAAAAATTATAGAAGCAATAACTGAAAAAAAAACCCCAACAGAATTTAATGCTTCGTGTTCTTTTCCTATTTTCCAAGGTATGCATGGCGAGACAGCTTGGAGCTGCTGAAGTCTTTGACAAGGAAAATGTTGCATCCTACCTCTACACTAAAAACAAAGACTGGGTGGCCTTTGATAGCCAAGATACCGTGCTCGCAAAGGTAAATATGTGGTGACATGGTGCTGGTTTCTTATGAGTAATTATTCCGTTTACTTCCTTTTTGTTTTTAACGTTAGTTTCGCTTTAGAATGGAGCAGACTGCTATACCATCGCTATTGATATCTTTGATTTCTTTTCTTTGCATCATTTAATTTAATGATCTTTATCAATCTCTCTCTCTCTCTCTTTCTCTCTCACTTTC